CAACGTAGTTATTTTGCTTTTATCTGCACTTAATCCGGCAAACAACTCCAGATCTCTCTTAGGTGTCTTTAAACCTCGGCAAATGACACCTGTCCTTATCGGCGATGAATGCGAGAGTTGCTGATAGGCTAGGTACAGTTAGTGATTGATCTCATGAAATTGAAACTGTAATTCTGGAACAGGTTTCAATTAGAATGGATTTCTTAAGCCAGGTTTTCTTTCAGATAATTGAGCAACATAATCCGAAGATAGTTCAGACACGCTAGGATGTCGGTTCTTGACTATACCTCTTCTGTGTCGTCTGCAAAAACCAGTTTATGCAAAAATTCCGCCTTGATTAGTGTGTATTTGTTCTATTGCTTTTCGATGCTTTACCTAAGAATAGAGTGTATCTTTCGGTTTAAAAAAACGTTCTAATTATGAGCGTTTTAAGACCGCACAACGACCATTTGAATAGCATCTTCTTTGACCAATTCTGAATAGTTCTTGTAAAGTGTATAACATGGTCCACATCGATTGCATAATCGCATGATGAAGCAGACTTAATGTTCTAGATTAATTACGATTTTCCTTACATAGAAAATTACAAGTATATGGACGGAAAATCCTTAATTCAACTTCAAGTGCAGGTCGGACCCAACCTTATTTGGACATTGGAAAACTTTTCTAAAACCTTTAAATAATTTTTCTTTAAAAGGGTGAGAGAAGACGAAATTATTGGCTATCAAATGCGTACAAGAGGCGAAAGCTTTGGACATATTTACTATAAAGTATACCTGGATTTAGGAGGGCTTTGAAAATTAACAGATATATTTACACTACCCTAGAGGGTATTCTGACCGTGTGTGATTTTTGCGGGCGACAGAGGAAAATGCATTTAAAGCAAAGGCCTTGGCTTGTCTGAAATAGTATGAGTATGCTGTTGAATTATCCATATTGCAGTCCTACCCAAATACTCCTTCCTAATTGAAAAAGAGAGCTACTTCTTCCGACTATTACACCGTTTTTGCATCCATCAGTCTTATCTGCGAAGTGGATCTACAATGTCCGGCGATCCTGCTAATGAGCCGATTTCTTTTGGACGGCTTCCTGCAGTTCGCGTTTTTGCTTGAGTCGGCAGTGGACCAAGCTCCAAATAGGGTGAAATGGGGTCAGGAGAATTAGGGCAAGTATTATATTCAAATGAATAGGACTTATATAGTGCCGTGCACAGAACAGGGGAATATGAATGCCCCGGCCAAGTAATGGAAGTAGCCGTGCACACACTTCCAAGAGGGCTAAATATTCATGGTTCCTAACCCAAACATGAGTACTAACATAATCCTGAACTGAAAAGAAGAAAAAGAAGAAGACTTGGTCACTGGGGCGAGTCCCAGGAAGTAATTGAGAAGAAGACAACTCGATCGCTCGAACAATACATTTATTCGCCTGACGTTTCGACATCCGTCGCGGATTCATCATCAGAGGCATGAGTAGGAAACAGTAGGAAAGAGA